GCCTTCTCATCACATATGATAATGATTTGTGCTTTGAACTATCCATATTATTCTCAACCCCCCACAGCATATCCTCATGTAGTTAGTCTAGTGGTTAACATCAGAAGAGGCAATAATTTTCCCCTGTTGTTTAGAGTGCATTTCTTTGGTTTAAATCTTTCTGAAAATTAAAAGGCAAGAAAAATGCTGCCCGGCCGGTATGGCTCAATGGTTGAGCCTCGACCCATGAACCAAGAGGTCACTGATTCGATTCCCAGTCAGGGCACATGCCCAGTTTCAGGCTCAATCTCTAATAGGGGCCATGCAGGAGGCAGCCGATAGATGATTCTCTCTCATCATTGATGTTTCTCTCTTTCCCTCTTCCTTCCTCTCTGAAATCAATAAAAAAAAATTTTTTTAAAGAAAAAAGTTAGTGACACCTTTTCCATAGCAGTCATTGGAATGTATTGTGGGCAATATTGTTCCCTTCTATACTGCAAAAACATTTTATTTTATTTTATTTATTAAGTTGATTGGGGTGACATTAGTCAACATGAACATATATATAGGTTTCAGGTATGGGTTTTTATGTTACAAGATCTGTATATTGCACTGTGTGTCCACTACCCAAAGTCAAGTCTTCTCCTGTCACCTTACTTTAGGCCCCCCTTCTCCCCCCACCCCCATCCCTCTGGCAACCACCATACTGCTGTTTATGTTCATGAGTTTCAGTTTTATATCCCACATATAAGTGAAATCATATGGTTCTTAGCTGTTTCTGACTGACTTATTTATTTAGCATAATGTTCTGAAGGTCCATCCATTGCAAAAACTTCTAAAATTAGGCTTCAGACATGCTGTAACCCAGTGGTTCTCAACCTTCTGGCCCTTTAAATACAGTTCCTCATGTTGTGACCCAACCATAAAATTATTTTCGTTGCTACTGCATAACTGTAATGTTGCTACTGTTATGAATTGTAATATAAATATCTGATATGCAGGATGGTCTTAGGCGACCCCTCTGAAAGGGTCATTCGACCGCCAAAGGGGTCGCGAACCACAGGTTGAGAACCGCTGGTGTAACCTAAGAACAGGTTATCTTAAAGTTCATTTGCAATTCAGTTCAAACTGGGGTATGTTTTCAAGGGGAAGAAAGGTTATTGTAATTAATGCCAAAGTGTCAAGAGTAGTAGTCCACCGATGCCTGCTTAGCAAACACAGGTGCGAATAGGCACACATTGAGCCCCAGCCCTTAGTAGTAACATCAGGAACCCAGGGGAAGCTCAGGAGGGAGTTTTAGCAAAACAGCAGGGAAGTGGGCTGCTAGCTGCCTCAGAAACCAAGATAGGTAATAAATTAGGACTGCCTGTATATAAAATTAAGGTTATGCGGCATATAGTATAAAGAATCTATAAAAAAGTGAAACCAGCTGACATGGTTCAATGGTTGAGAATCGACCTATGAACTAGGAGGTTACCGTTTGATTCCCTGTCAGGGCACATGCCTGCGTTGCAGGCTCGATCCCCAGTGTGGGGTGTGTAGAAGGCAGCTGATCAATGATTCTCTCTCATTATTGATGTTTCTCTCTCTCTCTCTCTCTCTCTCTATCTCTATCTCTCTCCTCTCTGAAATAAATAAAAATATATTTTAAAAAAGTGAAAATTCACCATAAACTTGAGATGATGGTGACAATGATAAATATCAAAGGACTTTGAGGACCTCTGTCACAGCTTGAATAAAACAGATGAAAGGATAAGTCGGATATGTGGACTCACTTGTATTTCCTTCAAAATAGTTTATACTTCTGGCTTTCCATTAATTAATATAGGCATTTTCCAAAATTAATCCAAATTATCGTTTTTCTTTTCAGGGGCCTTGTGGAGAAAAAAGAGATGGAGCTGGTTTTAAGTAAGTTAGAAGCGGCACAGAAATACTTGGCGCAGAAGTACTGTGTCCTTGTCCTGGGCTTGGGAATGCCCGATAAGCATCACATGTGCTGCGGGAAGTAAGTGCACACCTAGGATTTCATTCCATTTTCATTTGTTTGTATATCCTCATCCTCGAGACTCTTAAATTTGACTTTTGGTGCCCTGGAGAAAGGTTCCTTTTTTTGTTGTACAGAATAATTGAGCTCAGCTGAGGCTCTGCCCCTAAAGCATGTGATGTTTCTTTTGAGAAAGCCAAGAAAGTATGGGAAGAATCGCAGAATCTTTGCTGATATTTTAATAACCATCTACTGCTTGGGTTTAAATATCTTTTCTCTCAGTCCTGACTGGTTTGCTCCAGTTAGAGTGTCAACCTGTGGACCAAAGGGTCTTGGGTTTGATTCCCAGCCAAGGGCATGTACCTTGGTTGCAGGTTTGTCAATCGATGTGTCTCTCGCACGTCAGTGTTTCTCTCTTGCTCCCCTTCCTCTCCTTTTCTTCCCCTTTCCCTTCTCTAAAAGAAATCAATGGAAAAAATATCCTCAGGTGAGGATTAACAACAACAACAAAAAAGTCTTTTCTCTCAGCATATATCAGATTAATGGAATCTTGCTCTCAACCAGGAAGGCTTCCTGCTGCCACACAAAGGCCACTTGGCTGCCTTGGGAGGGAGGCCAGTGTTTGATGGGTGTATTGGGTGTGTCCCCTGTTTTGTTTTGATGCAACAACAGTTGTGGGTACAAGCTAGTGAGGTGATCCTGTTTGTGGGAAGGCAATTTTTACCTAAGGATGACAGTTTATACCAGCCGTGGGCAAACTACGGCCCGCGGGCCAGATCCAGCCCGTTTGAAATGAATAAAACTAAAAAAAAAAAGACCGTACCCTTTTATGTAATGATGTTTACTTTGAATTTATATTAGTTCACACAAACACTCCATCCATGCTTTTGTTCCGGCCCTCCGGTCCAGTTTAAGAACCCATTGTGGCCCTCGAGTCAAAAAGTTTGCCCACCCCTGGTTTATACACTACAGTAATTAAAATGTAAAAGCGTCTTGCCTGGCGGGTTTCGCTCAGTATCCACCCATGAACTAGGAGGTCGAAGTTCTATTCCCAGTCAGAACACATGCCAGGATTTCAGCCTCGATGCCCAGTAGGGAGCATACAGGAGGCAGCCAATGGGTGATTTTCTCTCATCATTGAGGTTTCTATCTCTCTCTCCCTCTCCCTTCGTCTCTCTGAAATCAATAAAAATATATTAAAATGTTTTAAATTATTTTTTTGCTTTAGCTTTGCTACTTTATTTATTTAAATTTATTGGGGTGACATGAACATATAGGTTTCAGGTGTGAGTTTCTATGTTACAAGATCTGTATATTGCACCGCCCACCACCCAAAGTCAAATCTTCTTCTGCCACCAGCTGTGAGGGTTTCCTCAAATAAGACTTGGGTTTATTGTTGTTTTTATTGATATATTTTCAGGTCAGGCTCATTTTCTTTGTTTTTTTGTTTGTTTGTTTATGCATTAGTTTACCTGCAGTTTTACTTTCTGAAGTTTTCATTACCCGTGGTCAACTGTGGTCTGAAAATATTAAATGGAAAATTCAAGAAATAAACAATTCATAAGTTAAGTCACACTCTGTTCTGAGCATTGTTTTGAAATCTCATGCCATCCTGCTCCATCCTAGGATGTCAATCGTCCCTTTGTCCATCATCTCCACACTGTACATGGTCCCTGCCCATTAGTCACTAGTGCCTCATTCAGAAGGAAGAGCACACTGCTGTCCCCGGGCTATTGATTGCATGGCATAGATTATATTTGCATGGCATAATGATATATTTCCACTTCTTTTTGCACCCAATCACCATAACCATTGTTTACAATTTTTTCCTTTTTCTTCATTTTAGACTTACCCTCTAGTTGGCTTTATTTCAGTTCCTACTAACACCTCATGTTGCTTCTTCATCATCTTTCCACTCCCCCCACCTCCCCAACACTCACATCACCAGTAGCATTTGGAAGAATACATTTCTTGGCTTATTTATCCTGAATTTATAATAATTAACCTTTGATAGAACACTCCAGGGGTTTTTATCTACGTAACCTAAGAAGTTGGAGAAAAACACCTTGGGACTCATTACCGAAGCATCTTGCTAGCATTTATGTGCCTAAATAGTCTTGGGGCCACGAGGATTGATCCTGCAAAGGGACCTTTTGAAGATAAGGGTTTGCGTAGATCACTGAATATTTGAGCTTTCCTCTCAACCTAGAGTTGTGATCTGTTATATTGCAGGGAGAAAATATCAAATACACAAAAAGACTGGAAATTCTTTGAGGTGAGTCATTTATGTTTGGGGGCTTTTCTCTTGGATGTGAAATATGAAGTCTAGCAGTAACTAATAGCCATTTGCCAGGTGCTTATTTATAGTGAATGCCCTTTTTCAAAAGGATGCCAACAAACTATATATTTTTGGTCTGATTTTCCTTCTATAAAGTACATGTATAATTTCCCACAGCTTTTTAGGAATGTTGAAAAATTGGATCGTCTAGTTTTACATCTACTTAGCAGTTTTATACAGACAGGTGGGAGTTTTTCATATCATAGCTGTGGGTTGTGATTCTTGCCTGTTTTCCGTTGTAGTCCTTTTTTACTTTCTGTGCATATGTAGCTTGGATTGTTTTCCGACGTCAACATTTCTCAGAGATTGAGGAAGAAATAGGGAGGCTCTTTCGTAGCAATATGTTCAATATTCCACGAAGGAAGCGTGAGGATGAAGAATCAGGAGGGGAAAAGAAACGCATGACATTTGTAGAGTTCAGGTATGGCCTTTGACATTCCTAAGCTCAAGAATATTTCTAGAAAATAGGATGATATGAACTAAATGTCACCTTTATCCTCATAGGAGAATGATGGCAAAACGCCCAGCAATTAAAACAGCCATTCACATGCGCTCTCCAGTCATGTCTACTCTGCTGCCGTCTCTCAGAGAAAAAGCTCAGAATGTCTTTGAGAGAAAGAATCGAGTCGGCACGAGATTCCCAGCCCAGATGAAAAAGCACATGGAAGAGCTGGAGTCTGTGTCCATGCCAGTGTAAGGGCCCACGGAAAGAGAAGAGAGGGCCCGTGTATCAGTTCCTAGGTTGGGCCAGGAGGGACAGGGCCTCAGACACCATGCCTCTGCCAGAAAGCTGAGCACAGATGAAAGCACCATCTTCCTGCCCACCCTGCTCCTTTCCCCCTGTTTCCTCTCCAAGTAGCTCTTGGAACACCCATCTAGACTAGAAAAGGTTGCTAGAACATTAGCTAGTTCTAGTTTGGACACATGAGTAGCAGACTTTATAAGGCTGAGGTTTTTCCATTAGAAGACTCATCTTTGGGAAATGTGGGAAGGACCGGTACAAAATCTGGTTTGGGGCTGAGTTTTTGACCCATATTTAAGACCACAGTGGTTCAGGGAAACAGGGAACACCCATCTAGACTAGAAAAGGTTGCTAGAACATTAGCTAGTTCTAGTTTGGACACATGAGTAGCAGACTTTATAAGGCTGAGGTTTTTCCATTAGAAGACTCATCTTTGGGAAATGTGGGAAGGACCGGTACAAAATCTGGTTTGGGGCTGAGTTTTTGACCCATATTTAAGACCACAGTGGTTCAGGGAAACAGGGAATGCTAAAAAAAAAAAAAAAAAAAAAAAAAAATGTGTGTGCACACACACACACACACACACACACACACACACACACAGCCATACACCTTAGTCTTTGGCCTTACTGCTTCAGCTATACCAATAATTCTTTTCACAGAGTTGGCATCTTGGGGCAGCCTCGATGTCTGTTCAACCCCCATACTCTTCTCCCCCTTGAACCAGAAGAAAACATGAAATCGCCCGGGAGACAGTCTTTCCTGATAGAAAAAAATAACGTAAGGATTCGGGATTCACTGGACTTGGTCACGAAAACACTGTCCTCTACAACAGCATTCCCTAAATAATCTGGTACATTCCGTTTCTGTAATTAAGTTTGCTTTGTCATTTATTTAACTCCCTGGCTTCTATGTGACTAGAGTAACATATCAGGACATTTAGCCAGTGTTCTAGTGGACTAGTGAAGAAATATTCTTTTTGTTAATTTCTAAGTTCATTTTTGCTTTATGACAAAGTGTCTTTGGTATGTTTGTAAAAAAATTTTATAAAAAGGCAAATTAAATATTTTAAACATTAAATCTCTTTGTATGGCTATATTATTACTGGCATTAAAATAAAAAGTATATCTGATTCATTTAAAAGCCTTTTAACATATATGTTTCATTAATTTATTTATTCATTTAACAACAAATAGGGATTAAGCCCCTGTGCCATTCAAAGCCTTGTGTTGGGTTATGTAGAGAGAGCAGATCATCAAGACAGAGACCATATCCTCCAGGTCTGGGTAGTAGAAAGGATGAATGTAAAATCCATTCCTGTTCACAAAAAAATATTGAAGATGACAGAGGCCAGAAAAGAGGTCAACACTGGTGCCCTGAGAGGACAGAGCAGAAGAGCAATCACTTCCGGGGGGACCACGAGTGTTTTGATTGGAATTTGGTGTTGCAAGGACCAGATGGCACTAAAGAGGGGCTTCCACTCAGAGGAAGAATGCATGCAAAGGCAGAGATGAACGAGTGTGCCCTGTGGCTGAGGAATGGCACGGGCATGATGTATGTGAAAGGGTGTGGTGGAAGAACAGGCTGGAAGGTTCAGCTGAGTGTCCAGCTAGGGAGAGGAGGGATGCTGTTGGGTAGGCAGTGAAGATTAGGCATCTCTAGTGAAACCAGTTCACTAGGTGGAATACAGAGCTGCTGATTATATAATGTTATCATTTTAAAAGTCCTGTAGGAGTTTAGCCACGTAAAACAACTGGACCGAATTTACCTTTCTGTGCCACAACTTTAAAATCCTTTTAGCATTTAGCTAAAAATTCATTCATTTCATAGAAAAAACTGGATACCTTTCCCAGATTTAATACCTGGAGCAGAGGAACACCAGCTCCAGCCTATTGGTCATGTGGGGCAGCTTCTGTTAAACCTACTCTGTCTTCACTCTCTCATCCTTTATTATCCAGGTTAGTTTCTGTTACTCCTGTTAAAACTGCAAAGTTTTCATCAAAATCCTGGATTATAAGTTAACCCTTGCTGGAGTTTTTATTTATGTAGAGAATTTGGTTATAAGGCACTCTGTCATAACACATTTTTATCTACAACATGTTGACATGGTTTGTTTCATTTTTGTTTCTTGTTTTTGCTATTTTAACAAATAGAGCCTGGAAATTGTGAGACTTTTATGCTGTCTTTACTAGGGCACTGGGCTTTCTCTGACTCCTTTCTAAACTGCAAGACTTTGGTGTACCTCATTTATTAATGCCTTCATTTGTTTATTCATTATTTCACTCTACAATTACTATATCCCCACTCTGTGCTATACACCATGTTTGGTGCTGGGAACTCAGTGTGGAAAAAATATAGTCAGCTCTGACTTGGAACTGACAAGTCTTGGGGGAAGACAAACAGGAAACAAATATTCAGATAATGAATTAATTGTAGTGGTGATGAGTGTGGCAAAAGAGAAGAGAATGCTGTGAGAGTATATAACCAAAGACTTGCTCGTATGTGGGGGATTGTCAGAAAAAGGGAAAGTCATCCCTGAGGAAGTGACATTGAAATCTGAGACTTGAAGACACACAGCAATTAAAGAGGTGGAAAGTGAGTAGGGGAATATTCCTGACTGCATTAGCTATCTATTGCTGCATAACAAATAACCCCAAAACACAGTGGTTTAAAACAGTAACATTTATTTGTTATCTCACAGTTTCTAGGGATCAGGTATCTGGGTACAGCTTAGCTGAATCCTCTGACTCATCATCTCTCAAAAGCTTTCAAAGTGTCAACTCAGTCTGAAGTCATCTAAAGGCTCAATTGGGGTTGATCTGCTTCCAACATGACTGAAGTGGCTGTTGGCAGGATTAAGTTCCTTGCAGGCTGTTGGCCTGAGGCCTCAGCTCCTCATAAGCTATTGGCCCAAGGCCTCCCTCAGTTCCTTGCCATAGGAGCCTCTCCATAAGGAGCTTATAACATGTCAGTTGGTTTCATTAGAGTGAAGGAATACGAGAGGGAGAGAGAGAGTGCAAGCAAGACAGAAGTTACAGTCACAACCTAATGTTAGAACTGATGCCATCACTTTTGCTCTGTTCTATTCATTAGAAGCAAGTCACAAGCATACCTCCAGGGGAGGGGACCACACAAGGCTGCGAATAGCAGGAAGTGAGGATCTTTGGGGTCCATCCTAAAAGCCAGCCTGCCACACTGGCAGAGGAAACATGGCAATCTTGAGGCTGGAAGCAAAACTCCTTCAGGTTGCGGATAAGGCTTTTGTGATGCAGAGAGGAAGGATGGAAGGAGGAGATATGGCTGGAGAATAGGCAAGAGCCCTGTCCTGGAAGGTTCTATAAATGCAATAAGGATTTATCGATCCATGAGGCTTGCTGCAATTTGATTGTTCGGTTCGTGCCTTGCACAAAGGCATCAGCGAAGGGCATGGATGGGGTGAAATCCAAACACATATCTTGGCCTGATTCTAGTTCTCTTCAGAGGGAGTCCCTATTTGTAACTCCCAAATCAACAGCCTTAAATGGGAACCCTTTGATGGTTTTTAAGTAGGTGCATCATTAAAGCTTACCAGGGGGGTTCTCTTTTTATTTAGAATATTCAGCAATTAAGAGAATGAAAAGACAAGCTACAGGCTGGAGAAAATATTTGCAAAACATAGCTGATAGAAAACTTGTATGCAAAATATAGAAAGTACTCTTAACATTCAACAATAAGAAAACAAACAATCCAATGGAAAATGGGCAAAAGATATGAACAGACACCTTACCAAAGAAGATACACACATGACAAATATGCATATGAAGAGATGCTCAACATTCTTTGTAATCAGGGAGTGCAAGTTTTAAAAGCATGAGATAATATTACATACTTATTTTAAAAAACAACAACAACTGACAATACGAAATGCTGGTGAGGATGCTGAGCAACAGGAACTCATTACTGGTGAGAATCAAAACGATGCAGCCACCTTAGAAGACAGTTTCGAAGTTTCTCAATTTATGTTTCTTATTCACATCCTTTGCTTATTTTCCTATTAATATACTCTATATTTCTCTTTCTTTTATTGCTTTGTCATTCTTTGAAGAAATTGCAAAGGTTTCTAGGAGAAAAACAGGTTACAGAAAAGTTGAATATAGTAATCCCTGTTCAGTGTAAAAAAACCTTAGGAAAGTACAAAGAAGAAGAAGAAGAAAAAGCTTAATCTCGCCACCAGGCTAACTTATAATTGTTAATGTTTGTGAGCCTTCTTTCAGCCATTCGTGTGCATATTCATCCAAACAAAAATGGGGTCATGCGCGTATTCTTGTTTGCAGCCTCCCTCCTTCACATAGTAATATGTTGTGAACATTCTCCTTCATCTGAAACATGATTTTAACTGCTCTCTGGTATTTAGGGTGTGAATATATCACAGTGTCCTTGCCCAATCTCTACTTTCTTGTCACACACATGTTGTCACTCATACTACTGGTCATTTTCTTAGGAGAAAGCCCTGCAAATAATATGCCTGGGTCACAGAGCACACTCATTCTCAAGAGCTTACTATTGCCCAGTCTCCTCCCAGAAGGCTGGCCCCAAGGCACACCACCTCCATCTGTGTGTGAGAATGCTTGCTTCCTCATCTGGGCATTACCATTTCTTTGAGTCTTTGCCAATTCTATGGTAGTGAAAAATGGAATCGAATGCTTGTTCTACTGTATACTTCCAATTAACAGTAAGGATGAATACTTCTTTATATTGACCATTTGTGTTCTTCTTTTGTGAATGACATAACTTATTCATACCCTTTGTTTATTTTCCAAGTAATATACTCTATAATTATCTTCTTTTATTGCTTTGTCATTCTTTGAAGAAATTGCAAAGGTTTCTATAACCTTTTGAACAGGTTACAGAAAAGTTGAATATAATAAAATCCCATGTGTGTAAAAAACACATATATGGGTAATAAGTCTGGAAGGAAATAACTAAATTATTAACAATGCTTCTTTCTGAGAAGTAGGATTATGAATGATTTTTAAAAACATTTATTTGCCTACATGTTTTTTTTTTACAATATACATATTTTTTAAGTGTCCCTGATTTCCTGCATAGTGGTGACATCTAGTACCCACTCCCACCCAGCAGTACACAGGTACCTCATGCCTATGAACAAAAGATGCAAATAGGTAATTAGCCACAACAGGAGAAACACAGGTAGCTCATGTGAAGAGGTTTTCATTGTCATTACTAGTTGGAAGTATAAATGAGAACATACAATTCCATTTTCACCTATGGAGTTGCAAAGATTCCAAGAAACAATGATGTCTAATGTGGGCAAGTGGGTGAGGAGTAGGCATTCTCATACACTGATGGGAGAGTGTGGTCTGGTTTGAGTCTTGTGGAAGGCAATTTGGCAGTGACACATGACCTTTTGAACTTATTTGTGTATTCATGTAGGGCTGGTTCAAATATCTGGCTCTTTGATGCCGATCTGTAAGGGTGTTATCCATTATTGATTTAAGACTTATTGAGGGTTGAAACTATGTCATTCCACCCAGCTCTGCGACCTGCTAGACATTTCAGAAGTGCTTTGGA